CATAGTTGTTTACACTGTTGTTTTAAATGTTTATTTATATGGCTTTTTATTTTTAAAGTTAGAAATCCAACACCGGTCCCCTCAAAAACACTTTTTAGATATCTGCTTCCATGAAATCCCCAAAATTTCGGGGTTGCAATTGCTACTGAGCTTTGCTGCTGAACGACCTTCTAGCCCTTAGCTGGGTTCGTGACACGTCTCAGCAGCTCTCCAAACGGAGCCCACTTGAGTGTTCTGAGACCAGCAGCTGAAACAGTTTTAGGGTGCTCTTAAAGATAGATAATACAAAATTAGAAATACAAAATAACACTTGAAAGTGAATTTGTTTTTAGTATGAGAAAATAACTCGCTGCAAATTTCAAGTCAAAACACTGACAAATAACACAAACATCACGAAAGCCAGAAAGACAGTGTAATGTTTTTATTAATCAACGGCCTGAACCACCCCTGTCATATATTTTCCTGAGTTCCCTGTCTGTACACACTCTGATTGCCTCTTCATGTGACAAGGATATTATAATATCATGTTCGATAGAGAGAATGGAAAGATAATTCAGTTTTCCTCTAGCCTGATGGTTTGAAATTTGTTTTTTATTATTGATGGCGGGTGACTTCACACACAGACTTGTGGTTTGTTGCGTTGCTTGGGGTTTGTACCCATGGACGAGACACCCTGATTTTCAAGATCCCATCACCAAAGGTGTCACTGTCATCCCTGAACTATTGAATATTCCTCATGGGCGAGAGCATCCATTGTGATTAACATTAATCAGAACTGAAGCTTCTGCTTATGAGTTTGCATATCAGATAACTGGGAGAATTTTCTAAAGACAAACTTCTGGTTTTGCATGTTGAAACCCTGATGCTTCTTACCCAGACCTGGACTCTGTAGACACATTCCTATTCCCACTGGACCTCTGAGCCTGCATCTTTGGGTGACAGAGCGGGTGATGAGCTGCAGGGGTATTCCTGGGAGCCACGCCTACTCAGGAACAGCTAGTCATGGATGTGACTGTGATCAGCATGAGTATATCTCACTAATCCAGACTAGATGGATCCCCAAAGTAAGTCCCTTTTTGCCAGGACCCCCAAATACTGTAATCTCTTTAGAAACCCAGCCTGGAGGAAAATGTACTCGAGAAGTCACAGTGAAATGAGCAGTCTTAACTGATTGTGGCTAAAATAGCTTTTTCTTCCTAGATTATACTAAAACCGATGACTTTCTGAGCATTTTTAGGGTTTCATTAACTTCAAGGTACGTTTGGTTTTGCTCTGACTGGCTCTCTGATCACAACTCCCACAGATTTCCCATTTTTCATTCTGTTCCAGAATATTCCATCGAGCAGCTTCTTCTTCCTCGAGATTGCCAGGCACTCTCTGCCTCAGGACCTCTGCACTTGCTGTTCCTTCTGCCTGTAGCTCTTTTCCCAGATACTCACAAACATGCTACTTCCTTTCTTTCTCCAGTTTCCTGCCCAAATGCCATCTACTCACCATCCCGTATAAAACAGCACCCCAAAGCCCCAACACCTCTACCCTCTGTCTTCTATTCCTATTCCATTTTTCTTGCCAACAATTACCTCTGACATCATATGTACTTGCTCATTTGTTCACTGTATTGTCTTCTAATTACTCAGTAAATGTTTGCGGAGTGAAGGAAGTGTAACTGGAAACCACTGAAGAATTGGAGCAAGAGAGACATGGGGCTTTCTTGTGTCTGCCGACAGAAGCTGATCGCTCAGTCACCTCCCTCCCCACACATCTCTTTACAGTATTCCTTGCCTTATAATCACCTGTCAGTGGTTTTCCCTACTAGACTGTATAGGACAGGGAATAGTTCTAGTTGATCAACAGACCCCCTACCATGTGTTTGAGAATTAATACTGGCAGAATTGAATAGAATTTACTGTTTATTTGCACAAGAATTCTTGTTGAACTGTCTGTATTTGGCTTTCTCAACTAATTAGATTATAACTTGTCTCTGAGTAGGGGACATTTCCCGACTGTTTATATCCTCTTGGCATCTCTTAGCAACCAATACATTGTCCTTTCTAAATAGGGTTCAACACCCTGTGCGCGTCTGTCTACATAATTTCTGTACTAAGTGTCTCCTAGTTCTCCATTCGAATGGATTCCCATGCGAAATGCCCATGTCTGTTAGGGCATTTCAGTTTCTCCCCTCAAAACTAATTAAAAGGCATTCAAAAAGCAGAGGTGTAGCTCACATGTTCAAAAGGCTGAGGGACGGTGAGTTCAGGGACGCTTGGGTTTCTGCCTTAACAACACTCACATTACACCTTTCAGGACTGTCATCCCTTGTCGTCTCTGGACAGAGACGCGGCCTGGTTCTGAGGATCAGGTTCTCACCGAGAGACATCTAGAGTCAGAAAAGGAAGCGTCTTTCTCAGACATCTCTTTCCAAAGAAAGGAAAACCTCTCCCTGAGCCCTACAGTGGTCTCCTTTACTTTCTTTTTGGCTAGAATTGCAACACAGGTCCTGCAGAAAGCAGCTTCATTTGGGAAATGGAGATTGTCCTGACTGGCTCGTAGTATTGAGATCGTGTTGGCACTGTGGAGGGGCCCTGTTTTTAGTGTTGAGCCGCCCCAAGGGCTGGCATTTTAACAGGAAGGAAGAGGAGGGGACAAGAATGGACCTGAGTTAGGCCCACAAGTGTCTACTACATCTGCATCTGCTAGCCTCCAACCTGGCCTGGCTCAAAGACTGGAGAAATTGGAAGCACAAAGATATCTCGTCCCCTCCAAACACTAGAGCCACATTACCTTCATGACTCTATCCCCTAAGGAAAAAAAAAAAAATAAAACAAAAAACCCTGAACATAAGCATATGACTTATTTAATTTTAAAAAAGAAATAAAACCAGGTCACTTAATTTGAATTAAAACTGAACCCTGAGCAAGCTGCCTACTCTGTTGCCTCTGCTTCCTCACTAAGAAACGAGGATGGTAATACTTAAAATATGGAGCTGACGTGAAGAGGAAATAAATGATTAAATGGTGGATTCTTATCATTCACAGAATGTGTATTTTTGAATTTGCCTGCTCACTAGCATTTATTTGTAATCTCCAAATCAGTATCTGTGGCAATTTTGGGGTCCTTGGTGGGTGTGCAGGGGGAGCTTAGTTGCTCACAGCACAGGTGTCCAGGTGAGGCTGACCCAGGTGACCCTCAGCTGTCTGGTTTCAGCCCTCAGTGTTCTCATGGTCTATTTAACACCTTGTTTTTAGAATTTCTGTTGGTGATTTGCCTATTTAAATTGGCCTGTAAGCAGAACACTGAGGTGCTGTCCAGTGTTTCTAGGCCCAAGAGGGCTGTGATCTGCCTTATGGAAAAAATACAAGCTAGATAACTTACATAAGTAAACCTCACTCAGCCCTGAGTTGTAGTGCTATTGGCTGCGTGTTCGCTGTAAACAACTCAACAATATGTATTAAATAAAGTAGCTTTAAACAAAAACACATGGAAAACAAAGTTCGTAATCCATCGGTAGATAAAAACGTGACCAGAGGCTCACAGGAACCTAACTCTGAGGTCCCCTTGGAGCAGTGGTTCAGCATCCATTAACTCCGTGTTCACGGGTATCTTCTAGAACATGACTAACATGAATAACAAGAATCTGCCATACTTAGGGTGTTTAGGACAGCTGTTATCATGGAGTAGGAAGGAGCTGACCACTGGTGTTAATGTCCATCAATATAATAACAATATTCTCTAGCCGAGGCTGCCAGTAAAACCTTGCAGTCATCTCTGAGGTACATATGAACTGAGTCCACAGTTTGTTCTGTTTATCTCCTTGTCAGAATAAACAAGACAAAACCACCACACCTACAGCTGGCCTCACAGCCAGAGAACTAGGAGCCGAAGGACTCAACGCCACTCGAGAGTGAGGGTGGTGAGCGCAGAGGGCCAATGGATAAGACGCAAGAGGCACTGAGCCTGGGAGCTGCAGGGTCACCAACCCACAGCACGGACTGTGGTAGAGTCAGGCGTGTCCCCACCCACAGGACCCTTGGGTTCAGGTCAAGTTTCTGTCTCAGGTGAGCAGGGCACAGCCCCCTCCCACCCCCCCACCCCCCCAGGGCAGCCCATGTCCTCGCTTACCCAGAGCTGCTAGGCACTCATTAGCATCTCTTAGTCTCCTACTTTTCCCAGAGCACGGGGTAGGGGGAATCAGAAAGAGACTCTGTTTGAACTCCCCCTTTATGGGGAATGAAAGGGGTAGAAGAAATTCCGGGCTGGGCTTTGGAGGGAGTGGATGATGCCATTACCTACGCGGAGCTTTTACTATTACTGTGACACAATAGTTTCAAAATCCATGTATAGAGCAGCCTATTCAAAGCCATTCAGAATATAGGATAACAATGCCAAAATAATTTTAGTGTAAGTCTTTGATCTTCTCATTATAATGCCATTACCATACCATTATTAGCTAAGATTACAATGACAAATCAATTTTAATTGAAGTCTTTGGAGATGCCATTTATAATGCTATTATCATGTGAATTTGCAGTGGAAAAGTTACTTGAGCAGGCTTGTTGAAACAGATCTATAATGCCACTATAATGGAAAATTTTGATGGTGAAATTATTCTAAGTCCCTAGGGACTGGTGATTAGCATCTAAAACCACGAACCATGAAAATGATGCCCCCCTCCCAATAATGAATCGTGTTCCGGATGGTATCTACTGATCAAAGGATCTCTTTTTCACAGAGTGCATTCACAAAATCCATAGGCTCCTAAAGCAGATAAAAGGCTCTTATTTTACAAACGAGGAAATAGACTTAAGGGGAAACATGACTTGCCCATGGCCACGCAGTGAGGGAGCGAGTCCGACTCAACCCCGGGCCTCTGATCCCTAGACAAGACTTGGGTGCCTACGCCAGGCCAGTGCCTTCCAGAACAGCACTCCAGGGAAACAGACAGATGCAAGAGCAGCACCAGGCTAGAGCCCCGGACCATGGAGCTCTTGGGAGACACTCACTTGGACTAGAAGGTCTCAGCAGAATTTTCCACATACGGTGAGTCCGTCACTCCCCCCTGGCTGGCCACACAGAAGTCGGGACTTTCTCTGGTTTCACGGTTTCTTACAAGAGGTTTCTTTCCTGGAGTAGGAATTTCAGCTCTTCCAACTCTAAGATAAAGGCAGAAAGAAAAGAGGATGACCGTGTGCCAAGGAGCCGCTGAGGTCAGGCGACTAAGAACGTGGTAAATAAAGAATCAGTTAGACTAGTTGTTTGGCTGAAGTGAGTGTTTAATTCAGTCACCCCGGGAAGCCACTGCCTCAAACCAGCTCCTCATTAGAGCGCCTTTCATTCCCCAGAGCGCGGCTTGTTTTGGCTCCTTCGTACCTTAATTTGTCCAAAACACGCCAGCCTCCTCTCACGTGGAAGAGCTTCCTCTGCGCCCTGGTCACGGCATTCTCTTCTTGCACTTCCCCCTTCTGTCCTGCACACCCTTTAGCAGAAGGGGCAGGACGGTGTCAGGAAGGTGCCCGTACCCCTGTGGGCCTTTCATTCTAGAACTGTCCTCTTGGCTCATTAGCTCTGATTTTGTTCATTCCTTAACAGGAGTGGGCAGCTAACATTTCTGAGGACTTGCTAGTGACTTTATTTAACAAACGCAATCATAACATGTGAATCTGGAGCCCAGGGGAGTCCTTTCTGCAAGATCATGCACACCGCAGAAACGTGGACTCTGGCTGGCTGGGCTCTAGAACAGACCTCTTGGCCGCTGTGTCCTGCAGGTGACTCAGTTCAGCATCGTGCTGAGAGCACGCAGTCTCTGAAGCCACACGGTCACATTCACCTCTTGCTCGCTGTGTTACACGGGCAAGCCACTTAACTCCCACGGGCCTCAGTTTCCTTATTGTAGACATGAGGCCAACAGTAACAACTTAGTTCAATGTGTTACTGTAGAGTGACCATGTGCAAAACACTCAGTTTAGTGACTGAGGCACAGACACCCTCTGTCAATTACTTTCTGCTGCTTCCAATTTCCATGACTTAGCCAGGTTCACCACATTCTATCAATTTTGGTTAAGGATGAGAGGGGACATACATTTACATTGGTCATTTTATATGAACACACTCCGAGTGTTGATGTATGTATTTGATTCAGGGGCACAACTTGAGAGAAAGCTAGACGTTAGGGCAAGCTACTAGTTGCTTTCATGCAAATATCAATTTTGAAGGAGCAAGAATTTGGGAGGATGAAATCAGTGGGGTAAAATCAGTTTCATAAAGTCAAGGCCAAAACGTTGGTGTGCATACTAACTGTGGGAAAAGCAGTGTAACTAATTATCCTCGGAGGAGTGGCAGCCAGTTAAGCTTTAGACAATCTCAATAAAATTCCCCAGGCCCATGTCCAGCAGGTCACAGGCTGAACAAAGGCTCAGGAATGTCAGAATTCTGAGTTCTCATCCTAGTTCAGCTACTGATCTGTTTTGTGATCCTCGTCCCTTAATCTTCCCATGCCTCTACTTCCCTCCTGCCAAATGCCAATGGTCTCCCCGGGTGATTTTGAGGGATAACCAATATGAGGATTAGGGACAAGAATCACCATCCAAATTGTTAATAAAAGTGGTATTTTGTAGTCAATTATTTGCATCTAAATCCTTTACATTCTCTCTCTGGCATCCCCCTACCCCGCCCCCATCTTTCTCCCGATCTCCCACAAAGAAGCAAAACACTGATATATACACAGAAGAGTATTACAGTGAAATGACAATCTGGATGAAGGGGAATTGGCCACGCCGTGACATTTCAAGCAGTTGCTGTCCAAGGGAGAAATTCACCTAAGAGTTGCCCCCAGCCCTGCAAACAAAGAAGCAACAGAGAAAATGCCACAGCAGTCTTCACTGTGACTTGGGTGTTGCTGTTGGTGCTGGGGTGGTCACTGCCTGAGTAAAGGTAAACTGGAGATTCTGCATGCCCAGAAAAATAATAAAATCACCAGCGTGTTTAAAATTAAAGTAACTACGAGCATAAATAATGAACACAACATTGATTGAAATAAACGATGTACTTTGCTTTAGAAATGTTATTGGAATAACTGATACTGTACTTTGTTGGGCTCTGGTTTCAAATGCATTCAATTATACATTTTAATGTTTCCCTCCAAACAGTCTTTCGAATCAGTATAAACTGCTGCGTGTGGCAGGCATGTCTTGATCTTTAGCTGCCATGACAACAGGATACAGAGAAATGCATTTTCATAACAATCGCCAGCAATGTTTAGTATCACTGTTTGTGTCAGGGAACAGCTGGCGTGGGGAAGAAAACAGTATTGTTTTCCGAAACTTGAAAGCTTTTGTTGTAATAATTGAAAAAAAAGTGTGAGTTAAGGGAAAAGTAGGTGACAGAAGTAAGGCTGGGGCAGGGGGCAGGGAGAGCGGACCCCCTGCCTGAACAGAAGGCTACACCAGTGGGTGCCAGTGCAAAGGTACTAGAAATAACTGGGTAATGATGTGGGCAAATTAGATTAAATGATGTGATTTTAAGTGATACAATCGGTTTCCACAACGTTAAGGGAAATGTGCATGTGTTTCCCTCACATGCCTATTTGTTTTAATCCAAATATAAAATAGCCCAGGGAGGCCAAATCTAAAGAATTTCAGCAAATGACACATTTTTGGACATTATACATTAAAAATAATTCCAGGCAAACCTATGCTCCAGAAGAAAGGAATTGGAGGTGGTTCCTTCTCCGGTATTTCTCTGAAACTCATGATGACTCCCGACCCCTGGGGCCACAGCAGAAGGCTGTGTGTGTGGCCTGGTGGTTGGGGCACAGCATAGCCTGTGGCACGCAGAAAACAGCTCTGCTCTGTCCCCAGCTGCGGATGGACCTCAGCCACTTCAGTCTCTCTTTTCACCCTTGTCCAGCAGCCTGAAGACTCAAAGTCCCAGGTGTGAATGACGCATGGGCTGAGCTTAGGTCATGTGCCTGTCCCGCTCCCTCATCCCCTGTCCTGGGATGCGGAGGAGAGGAAGGAACTAGACCTTTGGTTTGTGCAGTCATGAAGAACTGCCCTCCCAGGAAGACTGTTACCCAACAGCAAGGTCTCTCCCCCAAGGAAATTGCAGAACTTTTAAAAAGAAAGGCTGTTTTAGCCAGCCTTCAAATGACAAACACCTACTACAGTTATCATAATGCTATTATCACCATAATGTATATGCAGTCTCATATGACTCTAGGCATACAAGCTAGCAGTTGTTATAATTCTGTAAAGAAATACAGAAGAAGGGGTGATGTCTGCACTAGAGTAGGTAGGAAAAGTTTCAGAGAGAAGATGCGTCTTGAGACCTGGGGCTGAGGCAGGAGCTGGGTGTGGGTCGCTGAGAGGTGATGATGTGATCTCAGTCAAAATGCAGTGATCGAGGACTAGAGATATTTAAGGGTGTCTTCAGGATTTTAACCAAAACACACATCCTGTGGGTCGAAATACTCTCTTTTGGTACCTTCTGGACACTCCCTTTCCCAGAAATGGGAAAAATAATACTGAATATTTGAAGTGTATTTTTTCCTCTTTTTTTTTTTGCCCATCTCCTGTCATTCAGAAATAGAAAGAGAAAGGAAAAGATATAAGGGTTAAGGAAGAAACTTCTTTGCTACCAGGGGTTTCAAAAATCAAAATAAGAGGAAGAGAAAATTCTACTGTTTGATATGCCAGTTCTGATATTTCATTTTTTATTTCCTCCACAAAAGAGATGACCTAAGATTGCATGGCATCCAGTTTTAAGTGACAAACAGAATTAAGGAATCAAACAGACACATACCCACCAGTCTGAAGTGCTTTTAAGTGGGTAACAGAGCATTGCTATGTGTCGGAATATCCACAACATTCGGGGGGAGTTCTAGAAAGGTAACATGTTACATGAGGCCTACTGTTTGCCCAATTTTTGCCATCCAATGACTGCCATCAAATTTTTTGCAATAGCCACATACCACACTAATATAATTTTCTTAAAATATTAAAAAAACAACAACTAATTTCTTTTACTTGGCAGTCAAACCCATCATGGTTTTGATACTAACTAGATTTTTCTGTGCCTTAAATAAATGTTTGATGTTTATTTTATTCTTGATATATTTTATTGAAATAAAATATGAATATTTTAAAAGTGTATAAATCATACACATAGAATGTGAAGAATTTTTAGCAAGGGAATATAACCATGCAGCCAGCCTCAGATCAAGTAACAGAACAAGGTGGTTACCCCCCAGGAACCTCCCTCAGCCTTCTCTGGCCAATATGCCCCTCTATAAGATAGCACTCTTCTGAATTCTATCATGTCAATCATTCTGGAATATATAAATGAAATATATGTATCTAGAGATGGGATCCTAGAGGATAAACTCATTTGGATCTAGCTTCTTCTTTCAGTGCTATACTTAACACAATGTGTAGTAGTTGTCTTTCTTAATAGCATATGTTTGTGATGGAGAGGGAAACACCAGTCAGATCCCTCTTGAAAGAAGAAATTTTACTGGAGCCACTGGGAATGCTGACTCAGGGCCCGTAGCATTCCAGAGCTCCTTGCGCTGTTGGGCCAGGGCTTGGTGGTCCTGTGTTACAGTTAAACTCCTCTGCGTTCAATCCTGCTTCTGTCTTCTTCTTTCTACAAATGTTGAGTCCTGAGGTTCTCTGCAAGACATAAAAAGTTCCTGAAAATTTCACAATACCTGCCACTTCATTTCTGGAGGGGTAATATGGATTCCTAACCTGTGGAGTCTGAAGTGTCCAAGACACCATCATTCAGAGATTCCAGAGGAACAACTCTGGTAAGAAATTTCTCCTTAATGATTGAACTCCACTTCAGAGAACAGCTGGACAGGTGGCCAGTCAATGAGGACTGATGTCACAACTGGATTTGTTCTCAGCAAAATGATGACAAGAGGTGTATCTTCGATGCTCCATAGCCAAATTGACTACATTTAACTTTCCACACACACACAGCAGAGAAAAGGATATAGACATTGGAGCCAGACGTGGGTTCAAATTCTGGCCCCTCCAATGAGCTGTGTGACTGGGCAAATCACTTTAATGCTCTACTTCAGTGTCTTCATCTGTAAAGTGGGTAAAAACTCTCCCTTAAAGAGCTGTAGGGTTCAGAGAATAAAGTCCCCGCA